CATAGACTTTGGTTCAGTTTACATCTCAAAACGTCAACATGTTGCAAACTGATCGTTTTTGCACGGGACAACATCACACGATCACCAACATGGTGAAACACGCTTTAAGAGGAATAGGAAACAATCACTTTTAAGTAGGATGATCTAAATACATGTCTATTATTTTTACTTCTCGCTGAGTGCATTGACGAGATATTAAAGATATCTGCTGCCCTCGTGTGGTGAATGGGCTTAACCGCAACACAATCCTTCAAAGTTAAAGGTGCACTACGGAGTTTTGATAGAGAAATTTTAAAACTTTCAAATTTCACTGCCAAATAAACGTAGTGCAACGTTAAGATATTTAAAAAAAAAAAGCTTTTTCTTTATAAAAGAAATGTCATTGAAATGCCTGCGGTACTGTATTAATTAGCATGAATTAATTGTTGCACAGGATAATGTTTAATATATTTTACAAAAACAAGGCATTGCATAAATAAAACATTTCAACATTATTAAAATAACTAGTTACAATATCAAGTTTTTTTCACATCTCAAGAGTATTTCAGGCACAAAGGAAGGAACTTTATTATCTGTCCAGCCTCTCTCAGGTAGAGTGTGTCACTTTGACACTTCACTGAGGTTTCATGGTCTAAGACACTTTGATCAACAACAGCACCAACACTAACGTTGTGTATAATCTTACACTGTGGTTGTATAATCCAAAGCATTCCATTGGCTAAACACTGGCATCGGGGTGAGTAGAGTAGAAAGCTGCACTGCTGAAGTTTCTTTAAGCAGGATCTCTCTGTGTCGTAAAAGGAACAAATTGCTTCCAATATAAATAAAGTGCACGTCTGTTACTGCTTTACCCTTGTATTTGCCTTAAGAGCAACCATGTATGATCCTCCCAATGGTGAGGTCACTTTGTTTCTCAGCCACTATGTTGTGATACAGTTTGCAATGCAGTTTTCCTTGTTCAGGCTCAGTGAAAGTAGCCTTGGAGAAAACCACATGGTTGTCCTGGTTGACCTCCACTCCATACACCTGACAGAGTTGGTTTGTAAGTGATGTTTCTAGTGACAAGAGTTGAGCCATTCTATCAAGAGGAAAGCGACAGTTGCGGCTGCTGTGTCCGTGGCTGTATATAAGAAGTAGATCTCTACGACAGGTCACCAGATGACGGTGCAGAGCACAGCTCTGCAGGAAGTTCAACCTCTGAGACAATCGCAGCAAACGTACAGGGTTTCGCTCCAAGAAAGCTTGGTTGATGGAAAGAGCAAGTGAAATGGCACGAGAGCTGCGCAGCCGCTCAGGGAGCTCCATGATGTGTTGTGCAACACGAGCTGAACCTGCGGAGATGAGGAAGAAGACATTTTATTAATTTTGTTGCAATAAACCTTTGTTTCCCTAACTAGTTAACATATTTTAAGATTTTCTTTTATTGATTGTCTTTGATTGTGATAGTTACAAAATGTCTTCATTCACATTAAACAGTTTAGCAGCCACATGGCCCCATCATAGCAGTGCTGCATCCATGCGCGATCTAACCAAAAGATGTGGCAACAATCTTTTTGTAGTTCTAGGGAACAGCTAGCCTGTGAAAAGGATCTGTAGATAATCATATTGATAACATGAGATCCTTAAAAACCTTTCACTGAGGTTTCATGATCTATCTTTGTGTTGTGAAAAAACAGTAACAAAACTCTTGTGCCTGTTTCAGATCACAGTCTTTACTAAATATTAATGAAGTTTGTTAAGAAATGGTTACATCCTTTAATAATTGGGGTCGTTATCAAAATTAAAAAAATTAAAATTGTAAAGATTTCGCTGCGGTAGCTGCTACTGGCCTGATGTTTCTGTGGGCTACTCAAGCATGTGAGCTTCAGAAAGATAGCTGTCATGCACAGACACATGTACACAGACAGTCTTTCCCTGGTAGTTTTTGGGGAATGACTTCTCGAAAGTCAAAATTCTGATATTCATTTATATGATGCCTCGACTTGGATGCAAATACACCAAAGCAAAATCTCAAGTATTAACCAACCCAAGTTGTACAGTAGACCAAGAGCCTGGAACTCCTCCTGGTTGGGGTTCAGCCCTGTTCCAGTTTTGTAGCAATCCAACAGCCAGCTCAGATTCTCCTGTAGGTGCATGTCATTAATGCGTGGGTCATAGAGTCGGAGCGGCTCACCACAGAGCTGGTAAGAGGAGTAAATAAGAAAACGCACTGTCCGCTCTAAGATGGCCACACAGTCCACCCCCGAAACCCTCTGGATGATCATATCCTGCTTTACACCACGAAGCCGATCAAAGACAAAGCTATACACCTAGAAGCAAAAAAAAAACAAAAACATGTTGATTACAAAGTGCACAGTACCTTGAGAAAAGTTTAGGTTTTAAGTATGCATGATCGCATCTTTAGTACAACAGTCCAAAACTAAAAATACTTTAAGCTGAATAGTTACACTTTCCATATCATTTCATTGTAGTTTGGTCATTTTGGTTCTTTAAAAAATAGTTTTATTTTCTGGACATGTTGTAAGATGATGTTTTGTAAAATAGTTTCCTGTGTGGGTATATACAGCAAATAGGAAATACAGGAGATATAACAAAACTCAAATGATGCTGAACTGTTTTTAAGGGTGCATAGATAAAAAACACAATTCTAACTGAATAATTCATTAACACATTAGTTACAGTTTGTCTGAACCAAACTCTTTATTATTAATGGGGTTTTTAAATCACTGACTAGGAAAAATATGTAAATACTACTAGCCTCAGTCCAAGGGTGCAGGTCTGTGGATGCAGCAATATCATCAATTAGGTAACAAACAGCTTTCAGCAACACAGCAGGTGGACGGAGATGAGTGGGGTTAGTTGAGTCTTTCCCAGCTGCTGGTCTGGAATATTCTTTCACAGCACGCAAAGGGTCTCCCTTGGGCAATCTATCTCTTTCTGTGCCTGCCAACATCTCAAAACGATGAAGGCGGTTCTGTGCCTCGCGGTCTCGCAACTCCCGAGCGGGGCACATGGTCTGACATGTTCCCCTTGGCACGGTTTCTTTCCCCTGCTGCTCTCGACTCTCCTCAACCTCTCTCACCTGTGCTTTTCCTTGACCTTGCCATTGCTCTTCGTTCCTCTGTCTCCATCCTCCTTCTGATTGCGCACCCCTCCTCTGAGAGTGATAGCTGACGGGGAAACAGGATGGTTATTAAATGAAAATGCAGTCTGATAAGAAATTGGATAAAAGCAAGCATTATCGCCAAGTGCATCTCGTCCACCTGAAAAACTGAACAACAAAAAAATACCAGCTCTTACATAAGTCTGCTTGTTACAACTGACTTGGTATGGTTTCCTTTAAATTCTATGATGTTTGAATGCATGGTACTAAAATACTACAGGTTAAAGTTAACTACATTTTGATGATTTCAACTTAAGTTTACTTAATTCTAGGACGTATTCTTGGATAACAGAGCATCTGACATAGAAACTCGTTCAATGTTGGCTTTGTTTATGGATGTCATGATTTAATGTTGGCTTTGTTTATGGATGTCATGATTTAATGTTGGCTTTGTTTATGGATGTCATGATTTAATGTTGGCTTTTTTTATGGATGTCATGATTTAATGTTGGCTTTGTTTATGGATGTCATGATTTAATGTTGACTTTGTTTAAGGATGTCATGATTTAATGTTGACTTTGTTTATGGATGTCATGATTTAATGTTGACTTTGTTTATGGACGTCATGATTTAATGTTGGCTTTGTTTATGGATGTCATGATTTAATGTTGACTTTGTTTATGGACGTCATGATTTAATGTTGGCTTTGTTTATGGATGTCATGATTTAATGTTGGCTTTGTTTATGGATGTCATGATTTAATGTTGGCTTTGTTTAAGGACGTCATGATTTAATGTTGGCTTTGTTTAAGGACGTCATGATTTAATGTTGACTTTGTTTATGGATGTCATGATTTAATGTTGGCTTTGTTTATGGATGTCATGATTTAATGTTGGCTTTGTTTATGGATGTCATGATTTAATGTTGGCTTTGTTTATGGATGTCATGATTTAATGTTGGCTTTGTTTATGGATGTCATGATTTAATGTTGGCTTTGTTTATGGATGTCATGATTTAATGTTGGCTTTGTTTAAGGATGTCATGATTTAATGTTGGCTTTGTTTATGGATGTCATGCTAACTGTATCTTGGCTGCACTTGTTAAAAATGAAGCCTCGAAGTAAAGAAAGGCAACATTTCTACAGTTGTTAGCTTTGTACATAAATAACAAAGTATTAGCTGTGAGTAGCTATAAGTAACAGTGGCTACAACGAGGTTTTTGTCTTTCACTTGTCCATCGAGTTAGCTAGCATGTGCAGTTAGCAACAACAGCGATAACTAGCAGAGAGCGTTTCTACTCAGCGATAACAAAGCTTTAAACAAACAAAGTTAACACCTTGCTTTGGGTGATAGTCTCAACGTAATGCTAAACATACACATTTTAAGACAAATGCACTCACATGCGACGAGGAGCTCTCCTGCGGTTCATTGAACTTTCAAACAGACAATGGTGGGCACTTTCGGTGACAGCCAATAGAAATGTGTCACTCATGTTTTGATGTGACGTCACATCCGGAATGCCAAAGCCACACTCGATAATTTGTTATCCACTGAAAAGCAGGACTTCAGGATAAATTGTGCGTAACTTATTTCAAATTTATTTAACTTGTATAAAACTCTCACCCACTAGTAGGACTTTTAGGACTCACCTTAAAACATATTTCTACTCAATTTCCTTCCATTTTCAATAACCCGTCAAGCTCAGGGATCCATAGCTCTGTAAGTTTTGTGTTACACTGTACTAAATTGTTACCTGTTTTATCATTTAGATTGTAGTTGTTCTTGTCTGTGTCTTTCCTCTATCTGCACTGTTCAGCACTTTGGATCAACTGTGTTGTGAGTAAAGTCCTATATAAATAAAGTTGAGTTGAGTTTTTATTATCAACCGGACAGGATTCTTTTTCAATACAAATGCATATTTTTATTGTTTCTTCTTTTTCCAAAGAAATCAGACATTAGACTATACATTAAAACACATACATTAAAATGTTACAAGTATAAAAAGTGCATGTACTGTGTATTTCATGTTGTGTGGTATCCTTCACTGTTTCAGACAGTAGAGCTCCTGAGCTCTTGCAGCTCCTAGTTGTTCTTCCTCTGAGGCCTGCTGGACCTGGATTGTATGGCGGCAGACCAATGATGACATCTCAAGCAACTCCGAACATGCTCTAAAAAAAAAATAGAAAAAGGAGCGTATGAACAAAAAAACATAAAAAAGTCAATTAAAAGCAGACAGTGTATTCAAGGCATTCAAAAGTCAAGTTCTCCATATACAGTATGTGCATACCCTGATAGCTGCTGACTGATGTCCTTTGATGTCATTTTCATGTCCCTAAGGCACTCTAGAGAAGTGCTGTTGTCATTGTGATCTCCATCTGTGCACTGCACCAGCAACTTCTCACATTCCTTTAGGCAGGTTTCAGATTTCTCTAACATAGGTGAAAACACAGGGATAAGATTATCATATGTAATACATTTAATAAAGTATTTATCAAGGCATACATAAGTTACATTGTATATAATCCTTATAGGATTGAATTTACTTTCAATTGGCTTGTGACATACCATCAACATCCAAAACACCATTGTTTAAAATGCAATATCCTGTGAAAAACTTGAACACCAAATTTGTAGTAATAACAGTAACATTATACAGCGCGCCAATATCTGCCAAGGCAAGATTATTTTTTAATTTTATTATAATGTAGATTACTGTATTTGTTTTGTCAGTGCCTGTCTCACTCATTTGAAGTGCTATGGTCTGTTGGAGAAAGACAGCATTAGATAAAACCATAAACCTATTACAATGAGAAGCAAGAATCTGATAAATACATTTGCACACAGTACTAATGGTGCAGTTTTTGTTTTCAGTGATTAATTGAGTGCAGACAGCATATTGGAAACATATCAGTGTGGGTTTAGGGCCATGCACAGTATAGACAGCTTTAGTTTAAGTGTCACAGGACTTTCTCCTTGCTGCTGACAAAGGAGAACGTTCGGTTGTAGTCCTGCTACACTGCAGATCACACCTACTTACCACCTGCCTTCACCAAATACCCCAAGCAACATTATTGGAAATTTTGGACCCTTTTCACAAAACATCTAGCCAACTACAAGCAAACAATGTGTTGTTTTTGATTCTGAACTTTCCTTTGATAATCAGGTAAAGAAAGTTGTTCAGACGTATTTTTGCTTGCTCAAGTTAATTTCTAAAATAAAATAATTTCATGACTTACACAAGGTGGTTCCTGCATTTGTTTTTGTCGCATTGAGACTTTTTAAACGTCCTCCATACTGGTACTCAAGAACCACATAACCCCAATCCTGACCTCTTTGCATTGATTTAAAAAAATGTAGTACTAACTTTGAAAGCACGCCGTGACCAAGCCAATAGATCTATATTGTTGACTTTCAAACCCCCTATGAGACTGGGTACTTTCTGAAATAGGGGTTTGCTGGTTGTACCCAGGCCTATTTTAAGACTAAGGGTTGTTGATTTGTTGCAGTCCTGGCTCCCAAACTATGGACCGAGCTAGCTGCTGAAATCCAGTTTGCAAAACTCTTTGATTTCTCTACTTCTTAATGTCTTCTTGAAACATTCTTCTATAAAACTTTTATTTTCTGTGAAAACATTTGTTAATGCTGTTTGTGAAGCACTTTGTGACTTTGCAAAAACAAGTGCTATATACCTAAAAGCTATTACTATTGCTAACAAATCAAAGACGGTACTCTGTGAAATGTAATAACTGTAAAAACAACCTAGAAATTCCTTTCTGTCGTCGTCAATGTAGAAATTCTTGACAGGCAGCTCATGTCGGGTGGTGTCAACTGCCCAGGCGAAAGTGTTGTAATCTGTTGTGAACTGCTTGGCAGCTTCTGCTACGGAGTCAGTGCAGCAATCTGTTTAAAACATGATAATATTAGCAGAATGAGAATGGTGTACTCATATAATCTCTCACATGTACACTGAGTGAGTATTTTACTTTAATATTGAAAATATGATTTTAAAAAACCTTTAAGAAAGCTTTGAACCATATTTCAAAACTCATTCGTTCTTTAGTAGTCAACATAGCATAGTGTTGAATGTTAAATTAAAGAAGTGGCTCTCTGACCTGCATATCCAGCAGCTCATTTATGAGCCTCTTCTTTCCATGAGGAGGTACTGCTTCTTCTTGCTGTGAACCTCCTTATGTAAGGCCTCTAGTTCCTCCATCTCCTGCAGAATCCTTGCCTCTGCCTCCACTTTTAGCTTCGCAGTACTGTTCTCCATCTTAAGGAAAGAACTTAGGTTAAATCATTCACATAATAAGACTATGACAAGATGTTTATTCCCCAAAAAATGACAGTGGATAAGTCTCCATACACAATGAGAGGATAGTATTACACTAAAAATTGAACCATAATTGGTTAGAGCACATACAATGAAAGCAGTTCCCTGCCTAGCAGATAAATTAAACTAAAATGTTTGACTAACTCACCTTAGCTGTCAGGTAGGCCAGTAAAAATGTTTGCATCTCAATGAGTCTCTTTTCATTCTCTGGATTTCTCTCGGGTTCAACTGCACCTTCAATAACTGTTTTCTCTTGCAGAGAAAGATTGAAGAAAAAAGGGTTACAGAAAAGAATACTGGTACTTCCATTTGTAAATAACAAAGCATGTGAGGTTGTTGAGTCGGTTTACCTTTAATGACAGACATGTCAAAATCTGGTCGGAAGCACGATCCTTCTGCGAATGTGGACTGCAGAACACTTTTCACCAGCAGCGATGGCTCAGCTTAACGTGACATCATTGATGTAAGAAGGACATCATTAACATTTGCTAAACTCTCATTTAGATCATTTACTTGGCTTAACAAGAAGCCTGTATACCAGAAACTAAAGACCCTTTTTAATCAGTGAAAGTTCTCAGAAGTTAACATAATTGCTGCAAGGGCACTTCACAGGTACCTGACACACGATTCATTTATATTTAATCAATAAAATCAAGAACTGTAATCACTAATCATAGACAATTGTGTGACTTGATTTTCACAATAATGTTCATAGGAAGAACCTACTTGCTAGAGCATGTGGGGCCATTGAGCGTCTTGGTGGAGTGCCCGACCTTGGTTTGACACCAGTGGGTTTAGGTGAAACAGGCCTCGGTGGCACAGCCATTGACTCGTTGGTTAGTGAATTACTCTGTCAACAGGAACAGTGGTACACAAAGTGAACTGATGTGTATTATCAAACGTGTGACTATTTAAAAAACAAACAGAAAAAGAGTGAGGCAATGGAAGAGCTTAGACGGATGCTATTGATGATTTAAGACTCATGTAACATGAATGCTAAATGAAAAAAAACAATAACCTAAAAAATATAATTACCTTGGAAAGAGATGACTTCTCAGCGGCCTGCATATATCGAGACTTGACAACAGTCCCACTTGCTAAAGATGAATGAAAGGTTGTAAGAGAAATAGATATAAGAAGCTTACACACTTATCATTTTGCAAATCCTATTTAATCAATGCTCTGGAGGCATAGCTGTCAGTCTGCCATTTGGAGGGGAGAGCAACCTTAACTTCCACATTTACTCCAATAATTAACAACCCTTTAACAACAAAAACTTTACCACACTTCTTAATTTCTTACAAATAAACAAGATATTACATCAATAAGAGTTCAACCCTTATGGATCACTCTGAGGTATCTGTAATTGTAGAAATGCTGTTTTAACAACCTGAGCTCACTCTACAATGAAATATAGAATACACATAGAACACACATATGTCCAAGGCACAGGCATTCTTTTAATCCCTCACTTTCCTCTCTGTGTCTTTAACACAGAAAATGGTTAACCCCCTGTTTATGGTGTTAATGGTCATGTCGTAATCTGCAGAAATATTGGTCGGAAATACTTCACGAATGGGAATAATATTTCAAACAAATTCAGAGCTGGATCCTATGTCTCTTCTTCTAGGACTCCCGAGTAGCAATATAACCATTGTAGCTGTTTAAATGTCATGTAACAATTTCACCTTTGCTGCAAGAAAAAAAGATATATTCTTACAATGTATTAGTAATGAAGGCCCTTTTGTTAAAGGACAGCATAGTGTCATATTTGAACTGGATCCCTTGGAATAACCAAAAGTATTTTTCCCATGCAAAAACACGAGACATAACGGATGTTTTACATGTTTTATTATGTTTTTAAAGTCTGGAAACCTTATCTGAATTATCTCGAGGCTAATCTCTCTGCAGTTGTCTTATAAGGAGTCCTCTGAGTCTGAATGTAAACCTAAGATCAACCTGTAACGTAAACAATCTCCCTTCACCTCCTGTGAAATGGAGTGGATCTTCAGCTGTTGTTTTTCTTAGTTTGGTCATGTTACTGTGGATTATAAAGCCACATGTGTTTTATTGTTTATCTTTATTTAAATAAGAACATTTTGAAAAAAAATAAGAGATAAAGGAACACTACATTTGAAACACCAACTTAAGCAAAACGATGCCAGTCAGGACTGATACTTTTGTTATAACTTTCCTGCAAAGGCTTATTTTATATTAAATACTATGAAGCCTGTAGGAGGATAACACAAAGTAGTGCAAAGTATGAGTTTAGAAATATTGAGTGGAAATTCGCTGAGTAATATAGTAATTGTACTGATGAGAATTGAGCATGCGCCAATTAGTGACAAAAAAAAAATGATGATACTTACATTTAACAAGTTTCTTCCCATTTCCACTGTTGTTGGGTTTGGCAGCAGCGGTCACAGATTTTGAGCTGAAATAAACAAAGTCTGCCGTCAAATTCAAGAATGAATGAAAGCTAAGCTACCTGTACCACTTTCCTTCAATTTAGGGGAACATAAACACGCCTTATTTTACTCGTTTTTACACCCTGCTTATGAGCCACATGAATAGTCTGGCAGTGAAATCAAGTTCGTTAATGCTAAACAAAGACTGTCACGCTATGTTTTCTAAAAATAAAAGTTAGTCAAAGTTAACCTAAATAGATAAATGCCCCAAAAATTGCGAAATAAGTTAAACTTAATAACCACAGGAGGGGAAAAGTGCCGAAGGTTTTACCTTTTAGAGTCGGTAGAGGGATTTTTAAAACCACTTGGCACTGTTGATGTTCTTCTCGACGCCATAATGTTTTGAAGAAAACCGCCTGTGTGGCATAGTTTATAATCCGGTAGAAACATGGAGTCATACTTTGGTTCCGCTGATCTTCTTCGTACATTTATTTCGGATTGCACAGAAATGAAAGTGTTTGCTGACATCTACTGTAGAGGAGGGTTTGGGGGCTCATAGTAATTGTTCTTGATTATATTTTAAAGATGTGTAATGCTGCCACCTGCAACTCTTGAAAACAGCAACATACACCTTAAAACGAAAAGGTTGTAAATATATATTACAATATAAACAACAGTTTATTTTGTCTCCAAAGGAACCACATAAATCAGCTACATTTATTTTAAAGGTCCATCACTGTCCTATTTCGTTCCAGTAAGTGTTAAACCTGCAGGTAGTACGGCAATGTTTCATTTACAAACGCAAAATATGAAATATATCTAAATATACCTAATACTGAGTTTTTAATAACATGTGTGTTTTATGGGCAAGGGTTGGTGGTATTTCTAATAATAGTCTATCCAAAGGTATTATTGATCTCATTAGGCTACATCAAAAATGAGTGTGACAGCTCCAACCACAGTGAATAAGGCAAATCGTCTACTTTTTATTTCTGTTTCTTTCTTTTTTTCCAGATAAATAGCTGAAAGCCCTTCATTTACAAAAAAAAAAAGGTTGTCACAGCAATGCCCTAAACCTGAAATATTTGATCTAACAGAGCAACTCACTATTACACTGTAGATGATGCGATTCCAGATATGTAAGAATCAGGTCTTTGTGTCCTGATTTAAGGTAAAATGAGAGAGATATTTCAACAGCTTTGCTATCCAAAATGTTTTGACAAGCTCTTTTTTTTCAAAGTTGTCTCTCCTTGCTTTAAGGAAGGCATGATCTGCTTTTCACTGAATTCACGTCAAAAGCTACAGTGTTATAAGTAGACCTAACCACTAGATGGGTGTAAGGGTCTGCATCATTCACTGCCAGTGTACAAGCACACTCACAGACAGTCCTTAACAGTTTAAATACAAATGATTTAAAAGTTTGTGTCTCTGACATGTCTCTACTGGGGATAAAATTGATAAACACCTCTGTAAGTTTTTTTTTTTTCTCTGCTAAATGTGCCGATATCAGTTGTATTGGCTCCAACCAGCCAGGATGTAGGAGGATATGTCTATTTTTTTGCTTTGTTTTTCTTGCTGTCTTGAGTCATTGAGGATTGGTTCCTCTCATGTCCATTAACCTGCATATACGTCCTCATACCATGAGTATTGGTATCTGCTAAGGAAGTTCTTACACCTGCAGTTGAGACGCTACTTGTGTGCATGAGTCTTAAAGAACATAATAGGTGCTGATCCCACCTGTCTGAGCTGGACTTGGGCGACAGAGGAGACAATGGGGAGAGACCGGGTGTGGAACTGGGAGGTAAACACTGGTCTGCAGCTTTGGTCCTCAGCCATTTCTACAGCAGGGATGGATAAACAACTGGGGGTTGAGGCATAAACAATACCTTTTACAAGTTGGATGGGAATCAAAATTAAAAGAAAAAAATACATTTCTGCTTTTCTGGGTTTTATATTGGCTTTAATTTGGATTTGACTAATTTATCCTAGGTTCTTATATATTTTATATAATTTGTAAACAGTTAGTGCATAAGATGGACAACATCCAGGTAGTTATATGATGACCTTTCTGCTTTAATAAAATTTCTAGGAAAAGGTTGAACATTTTGGCACTCAAACAAATCTCTCACAAATACATGCCTGTTTTTGTACAGGTATGTGTGTGTGTGTGCCAAACGTGATGTGTGTGCATATTATCAGTCCTTGTAAAGGCCGGGTCTTATCATTGCTCTCCTCTCTCCCTCCCAGTGTAATAAAGCCTTGAGGCTGGCTGCTGTGTGTCCGAAGCTGGCTGTCCATCTCTCAGCACCAAGCAATGCACGAACCAAAAGCTGCTTTGAGGTGGACAACAAGTGAAGTTGATGATGGCGATATGAGCAGTATGGACTATTTTGGATTTCATCAGTAATCCTTGTGATGAAATAACACAAATGATTTTTTGGTAAGATGCTTTTTCTTTTCTTCTTCTCTGGCATAAATGAGAAAATTCAGTCCAATGGAGAGGAACAGATGTGAAATTTTGAAAAGTGCATGTTGAAAGACAGCACAATAAGGACACATGAAGTCACTGAATGAAAGTCCTTGTCTCTTGTTTAAGCCCACCTCATTTGCACTTCTCTCTGCGCCGAAACTCTGACGTCAGATTTCATTTGTGTCACTGTGACCTCACTGATACTCTAAAGCAGGCCAATAGAAATGCAAGATAAAAAATGCTGTAATTCATGCTCTGAATGAAAGGCAAGTTGTCGTCAGCTCTTCTAACACATATGTGCACGCATGATAACCCACACACAGACAACCCAACCATGCAGCCGACACGCCTGCCCTTCTTCCCCTTGTGGTAAGCTGTTACTCATCACAGCCCAGTCTGCCAGTCTGGTCCACATAGTCCTTACAGGAATGCCTCAAATACACAGTGCCTCATACGGTACAGGAATGCCTCAAATACACAGTGCCTCATACAGTAAAGCCAACAGGCACAAATTGAAGCATTTAGTTATATCTGAACTAAATCACACTGCTCTATATCTTATAATAGTGCTTCAAGAAGGGATTCAACAGAGTTGTAATTCTTGGTGAACTGAACATTTGCTGAATCAGCTACTGTTTTCCTTTTTGTTTTGATCTTACATGGAAAAAGCCACATTTTTCTGATTAAGGCCATTTCCTTTCACCAGAGACACAACTTATTTTCTTCTTACTGGCTATACCTCCGCTCTCCAGAGCAGACGGGTGTATGAGTTCCACTGTTTGCTCTTGTCTTTGAGGCCTTTGTTACAGGGATGGCATAAACAGTCAGGCAGTGGCTCCCAGTATTAAGTGGCTAAGCTTCTCTTTGTTGGCTGACCATGGTGAAGCTGTGTTTACCTCTTAACTTTACAATATCTAGCAATTCCGCCGGTCATTTTGTGCCAAATCCAATTATATATAGCCAAGTCATAACAATGGTAACAGAAGCTATATACAAACACATCCGTTACCAACATGTAAACACATGGTCACTAATGTAATTTGCAAAAACAGAAGCGGTTGTGTATTCATGAGGAGTGTTTGTTAGAATAAAATCTATTAGAGATGATTTTTCTGGACATTTAAGATTGGGTCTAGTGGGGCTATCGACAATTTGAAAGAGGTTTAGCGAGTCACAGTAAGCTTGATGATTTTAAAGCTTACTGTGACTCGCGAAACCTGTTATTGCCTCAGTGAGAAATACAAAAATCCCCAAAACCAAGCCACGCATCATTATAAAGCGTGACATGAAACATTTTAATGAACAAGGGTTTTTTCATGACTTGTTTAATTTTGACTGGCAGAAAATGCATCATATTCCTGATGTTGAAAGTGCATGGAAATTCTTTTATGATGGTTTCACAAAAATTGTGGACAAGCATGTTCCCCTCAGAAAGTACAGAGTTAAAGGTCGAACTAATGTATGGTTCACTCCAGAGTTATCTAACTCACTTAATGAGTGAAATATAGCATGGGCAAAAGCCAGGAGATCAGGTCTGGATTCGGACTGGCTGCTTTGCAGGCAGATGCGCAATGCTCTCACAGTTGCAATTAGGAAAGCCAAAGCTGATCATTTCCCCACAGAAACCTCAAGCAACCTAAACAATCCCTTGAAATTCTGGAAGACAATTAAATCCCTGGCTGGAAATAAAAATGGAATTGAGCTTCCTCCATGCATCGTTAAGGACTCACTTAAAGTCACCGATAAATCCAAAATGCTTGGTGTCTTTAATGAACATTTTATAGCCTCTGGCTCCTTGTTTGACTCTTTTAGCAATAGGCATATAAATTCCCCTACTGTTTTTTCTGACTGTCATGTTACAGGTAGTCAATCCTTCAGTTTTCAAGTCATTACAGTCTCAGAAGTGCTCAAAGCCCTCAAACTTTTTAAAGCTGGAAACTGATTTTATCGCACCACCTTTGACACATCTTTTTAATCTCTCCCTGGACACAAACGAAATTCGTCTTATATGGAAATCTGCATTTGTTCTTCCCTTGTTGAAAGGCGGGGACCCTACAGTCTTAAATAATTATAGACCCATCTCCAAATTGTCGTCCTGGTTAAGGTTCTGGAGTCCATTGTGAGTGAACAACTTAAATATTTCCTACTATCAAACAATATCTTATCTGACTTTCAGTCAGGTTTTAGGAAAAAACACAGCACAACTACAGCGGCCTTAAAAGTGGTCAATGATTTTATAGACTTTTTAGACAACAAACACCACTGTGCAGCGCTTTTTATTGATTTATCAAAGGCTTTTGATACTGTGGATCATGCAATACTAAAGCAAAATAACTCAAGTTAAAATTAGGATTTTATTTTAGAAATAAGTCTTGCTTTTCATTTAAGGCCAAAAAAAACACTTTTATGTCAGTGCTAGACTATGGCGATGCTATTTACATGCACGCATCCTCGCAAAGCCTACATGTGCTGGATACTGTCTACCATGGGGCACTAAGGTTTATCACCAATCTAAAAGCCCTTACTCACCACTGCTCCTTGTATGCACGTAGACTAAATCACTGGCATATTTTTATTTATAAGAGTATTCTCGGTCTTCTTCCATCCTACCTACAGAGCTACATACTTCAAAAAAGTAATGGAAGTTACCATCTTCGCTCACAGGATTTATACCTTCTAACCATCCCTAAAGCCCGTACCGAATTAGGAAAAAGGGCGTTCAAGTATTCTGCTCCCTCTTCTTGGAATCGGTTGCAAGATACTTTAAATCTTCAGGAGCAAGGTTTACTTGAATGTTTTTAAAGGTCGTCTTAATGATCTGGAGGCAGAAATATCTGACAGTAGATGTTTGAGCTAACTCGTATTGCCCTTTTTTGATCGCTTTGTTGCTGTTGACTTATGACAGATTCTGATGAATGGTTCTTTTTGTGATTCCTGTATTTATGTTCATTGTTGTTAAGTGTTTT